ATATATATATATATATATATATATATATATCTATATATCTATATGTCTATATATATATATATATATATATATATATATATATATATATATATATATATGTATATATATATATATATATATATATATATATATATATATATATATATATATATATATATATATATATATATATATATATATATATATATATATATATATATATATATATATATATATATATATATATATATATATATATATTAAGGGTATTTTTAAAGAATAACTTCTACAAACTTATAATGCATCTGATTTGGCTATAACACCTCTCCAATCCTGGGGCCTCATGTACGAAGACTTGCGTGGAAATCATACTAAAACATTGCGTACGCATAAAGCTGTAAATGTGCGTACGCGGAAAAAAATTCAGAGGTATGAAACACTGCGTACGCCGAATCTCACGCATATTCTTTTGTAAGTCTGAATGAACGTGAAACTGAGCGGAACATGCACGAGCACAAAACCCTTCCCTGCCTCCTCCCCCGTATGAATATGCTAATGACTATGCTAATGGAAAAACCCAACGAAAAAGCAACGGCAAAAGCAAGCAAAAAGAGAAACTTTGAACAGAATGTGAATTGGACGTGTTGCTTTTGGAGGTAGACCGCAGGAAAAGCGGTGTTATTTGCAAGTTTGTTTTCCGGAATTAACAACAAAAGAAAAAAATAAGAGTGGGAGAGTTTAACTGATGTGGTTAACACAGTTGAGTCTGAACATCGCACTGAGTGAATTACAAAAGAAATAGTGTGGTTTATAGGTGTAAAATGTTGCAGTTCCTATAACAGTCTCAGTGGCGCAGCTTGTAAGACGCATGTCAACATGTTTTGACATGTTCGAGCATGAACTCAGTTCGAATCTAGCGTCTGATGAACTCTTTCTTCTTTTTTCCCCCGCTACATATCAGATTTTTCCTACTATTTATCACGAGAAAGACACGTAGGAATCATTAATAAGTTTGTGCATCATATTTTATTTGCACATTTATTGAATGGAAATGTTTCAAATTCATCTTCAGATAGTGTCTTTATAGCAATGTGCGTGCAGTAGATAACTCAGATTACATTGGGAAAACAGGCGACCGCTGCAAATTGTGCTTTAATGTTTAGCTGGTCAAATGTATGGTATGGAAACCTTATATACCTGCTTGATGAACCCATCTCAAACAGCTGCCATTGCAAGGCTCAGACACTTTGTAGAGAGGAATTTAACACAACTGCCTCTAGGAGTCGCCAATGGAAATAAAACAGACACGCACAAAAAAAAAGCCATAAAGCTGGCAGGGAGCTGCGCACATTCCCACGTTCAGTTCATTGTTAGTAAATCCAAACGTGAGCAATTCTGAGCGTGAAACCTGGCGTACGCAAAGTTTTTGTGCGTACGCAGCGTTTATACATGAGGCCCCAGTTCTGTGAATCTGAGACCTCTATAATACACACACTTATTAATGATTCCTATTTCTTCTTGAGGCAAAATCTGATATGTAGTGTGGGGAAAATAGAAGAACTTCTTCATCAGACGCTGGATTTGAGCCGAGTTTATGATCGATCGCATCAAATCATGTTGCTATGTGCTTTACGAGCTACGCCACTCACGCTGCTGTCTGCACTCTTTAGTCATGATGTCTCTGTTAGTCAAACGGTGATGGATTGTAAATCGCTTAACTAGCTTATTCCATCGAGGTGCGCTATTTGCACTCATCCTAAATAGATGCTGCAAAATCGGCATTTCCCCCCCTCGCAGGGGACCCAAGTGTGTACGGGCCTCTAGGCCTGTGCCCATAATGCCCATCGGTTAATCCAGCCCTGTCTGATATGAATGTGATGAAAAATCACAAATCAAACCAAAACCTCTCCTTTCCTTGTTAAACTGTAGACAGAAATAAAATAAACATGAGCTGTCTACGCTATTATTTTTTCAGACATCCAAAAAATGAACACAACCTTACAATACAACACTAGTTAGAGTATTCAACTAAAGTAGAGACTCCAGTTATGAGCAAATAATGAACAGTTTGAAGTGTGACACAAGTAATGCTCCATTAACTACACTGAACACTTAAACTAATCTAACACACATTCAGCTGGTACAGGAAGAGGGAATACAAGTGATGAATAAAGTTATAGAACTAGCAAATAATTCATAATTCATAATTCCCTATGAGCTAATTGTGTTACAAAGAGACAATCAGGAGCACAAGGGCTGATGGGAAATGAAGTCCAGGAAGATAAAACACTGTGCCCTCTATTGTTCATAAGAGAGACTGCAGCAGGTTCTGACGCTACTTTTCCTCTGGTGTGTTTGTGTGTTCAGTGTGAGATCAGGATCATGTGTGTCCAGCTCTGTGTCTCTGAAGAGTGACCGGTCACGACAAGATTATCCACCAAACTTCAGAGAGGAAACACCATCATCTGCTGAAAGGTATTCAGTGTTTTACATTATTGCTCACACATTAACTATTTTGAACATATTATTTGAACAATCCAGTAAAGAGAGCCATGAATGACTTTAGTGGCTCATTAAGACATTTACAGACTTCTGGTGGCAGATTTAGTTTCTAATCCTGTGACTATTTTCAGTAAATCATCATTTTATATTTCCATGTCAATTTTATGTGCATATATATATTTATATGGATTATTCACTTCAATTCAAGTTCTTCATCATCGTTTCCTCACTTGTGGAATATAAAAGATGTTTACAGCCAAAACTGTTTAGTAAATGTGTCTGAATACAGATTTGAAAAATAATCATAGCTATTGCTAAACTTAAAAGTTTTTTGTAATAATAAACTGTAAATCAAATATATTTCTGTCTACAGCTACTTTCTGAAGTCTTTCAGTTGCTGAACTCAATAGTGACGTGTGTTTAGTGTGTGATTTCTCATCTAGATTTAATATGTGATGCAGCAGTGGCTCTACAGAATGTTGTTTATTTTCAGTGTTTGCAAGATATATGTCTGTATTTGGGGGCAGCACAGTAGCTTAGTGGTCAGCACTGTTGCCTCACAGGAAGCAGCTCACTGGTTCAAGTCCTGGCAGAATCAGTTGGTGTTTGTGTGTGAAGTTTGCATGTTCTCCCCGTGTTGGCGTGGATTTCCTCTGGGTGCTCTGGTTTCCCCCACAAGTCCAAACACATGATCTATAGGGAAATTGATCAACTACATTGGCATTAGTGTATGAGTGTGTGTGAATGAGTGTGTATGGGTGTTTGAAGGGCATTCGCTGTGTAAAACATTTGCTGGAATAGTTGGTTCTTTCTGCTGTGGCAACTCCTGATAAATAAGGACCTAACAGAAGAAAAATGATTGAATGACTGAATATCTGTATGTGTTTGCCTGTAAATGTGTAATTACAGTAGTTTTATCTGTTAACAGTGTTGAATATGAGTCAGCAGATTCAGGAGACAAGACTCACAGGAGACACAAAAGCTTCACAGACAATCTCCAGTGGATCTTCCAGGTGGAAAAAACTAATTTTGAGTCATAAAATCAGTGAAATAACAAAAAGCTTTTTTTTGCTTTTATTTATTTATGTAATAATAATAATAATTATTATTATTATTATTATTTTATTTTTTTTATTTTTATTATGTCTTTTTGGAATGATTTAATGTTTCTGGTTCTTCTAAGAGGATGCACTAGACATGCACACCGTATCTTCACTGTTAAAAATTGTCCCGTTAAAAAACAGTAAAATACTGGCAGCTGCAGTTGCCAGCAATGTACTGTTATTTTACAGTATGTTGCTGTAAAAATACATGGACTACATTGATTTACACAATACTTAAGTGAACTCATTTTGCTCACTGAAAGCAACTGCCTCAACTTGGTCAACTGCTGAATGAGTTCATGAAGTAATGTGCTATATATGCTTAGAAGCATACTTATAATAATAACTTATTTTAGTTAATTAGAAAAGTTCGGTTTAACTCTAATGTCTTATTTTTCACAACAGCACACATACATGTAAATCTGGAATCACCAGAGAGATTCTGACTGCATCAGCAACTAAACAGCCGCTGTCTTTAAATAGAGAAACATGCAGAATAACATCAGCAGCTCATTGTTCATCTTTAACTCATACACTGGCTCTACTCTCCTCCACAACGGTGACGCACAGAAGAAATTAGCTTCAGGTTTTACAGTAAAATACTGTTTTTTCCTTGATTTAACAGTAATCTACTGGCAGCTGTGGTTGCCAGCAATATACTGTTTTTTTACAGTCTATTCCCGTAGTGTAAATTAACAGTATATTACTGTTAAAATACATTTTACACTGTGTTTTTACCTCTCACACCTTTAACCCTTTAAACCCCAGAGCATATACATCAGTTTTAATTGAAGTGTCCACACTACTGAGTGTTCAAGAAACATGTAGCAAAGCTGAAGTAAATTCATTAATTAACTGACTAATTAAATGATAATTGAGGATTAACAATGAACAAATGTAGAAATACTGAAGGGAAAAAACAAGAACAGAACATACAAAACTTTAGTCACAGCTTTATAATGAAATAACCTGAAGAACAACAAATGATTAAATCATTTAAATGATCAGCGGATGATTAAACAACTCTACAAACATCATCACCAGCTACACTTATTACTTAATACATGTATTTTTGTATAACATCTACTAAAGTTCTTCTTGAGAAAAAGTGAAAGTTTTACGTCACCATCATGGAGAACAGAGTTTGCTTTAGTTGGGCTCTTAGCCCTGTCATTTTTAACATTTATATATCTTGGCTGCTGCAATTGTTAAGAACTTTGTTTAAAAAGGTCTTTTGATGTGGCAAGCCAGCCAAAAACCTAAATAAGATCTGGTGATGTTCATGTTGCTATTAAATGGCAGAGTCTGTTCTCATTTAGTATAATAAACTTTACTGCTCCTATTCAATGTTAAATCTATTGTTTTACATTATATGTCTATATGTGGCAATGATTTCTGTAAGTTTTTAAGAATATCTTGGACAATAACACTGCTCTATGGTGTAAATCGCACTCAAAGAGACATCAATAATCAGCATATGAACCTCAATAATGGTGACAACAAATTTAACAAAATTAACAGTTTAACTCACAAACAGGCAACTGAAAGTCTAAACATAAACAACAGCAGAATCAAACACAAATAAAGAAAACTGTGAGACCATTATACAAAATTTATTTATACCGCAATGCATGCTGGGATATTTGTACCGTGCCACTCCCAGCATGCATTGCAGCATAAAACATTTGAGATGTTACCATTGTTGAGATACAAGGTCAGATTCATGAGGTCTGAGTGTGTATTTGTCATAACTGAACTGTTTTTGTATGTTATTTCTTAACTGTTAAGTAATTACGGAGGTATCTTTTCTGTTTCCACTTCTCATTAATTAAATTAATACCTGCAGCTAAGCATAAATCTATTGCATGTGGCCCTTCTTCCAGATTTATAACAAAACATTTATCAGAACTAATTTCAGACAAAAAGATTTCTCTAATTATTGACTTTCCAACTTTATTGCTATAATACAAGTATTTTGATAACTCTTTATTATAGTAATTGGAGAGTCTGAATTAATAAGTTCAAGGGTGAAGAGCCCAACTAAACCAGCCCCTCACTCCATTACGGTGACACAAAAAACACCTTAATTTCTGTTGGATCTCAATGAGAATAGTATGGAAGTCAAATCAATCAGTAATAAGTGTGTGTCTGCTGTTGTTTGTGGAGTTGTTTAATGATCCTCTGCTGAGACTGAAGCTGTTTTATTTTATTTGATTTTATTTAATGTTGTAACTCAAGTCACTGTTTGTGTTTCTTGTTTATTTTCTTTAGTAATTGTGATTATTAACAGCAGGTGTTCAACAGTGTCTGAATTCACTCATTAGTGTTCATTAACTATATTAGTTAACTAGTGTATGAAATAGTGAACAAGGACACAAAGTGTTATTTTAAACACAGACTTCAAAACATCGAATCTGAACTCTGTTAGCTCACAGTTTTCTGCAGTTGGTTACTTTCTCGAAAACAAAAATGTTACCCAGAAAGCACTGTTTTTAACAGATTATTACTGTTTTAGTGAAAAAAACATTATTTTACCGTAGAATCTGACCGTTTTTTAACAGCAATTTTTTACAGTGTTCATATCACATTATCTGCAGGGATTGACTTTTGAAAGTAATAGTAAATCACTTGCAGAAAGGACACATTAAAGCATAAGCAGATCTTCATCATTCTTCATCATCTCATTCATTCATGCAGCAGCTTATTTTGAGCCATACAGAACTGTGCTTTAAAATGGTGACGGTTGAGGGAATATTATTGTAAACAATGAGATATTTTACATGATATATAATAATGAATGTACATTATGTATGAGTAGGGCAGAGTGATGCATCCAATATTACCGATAATATTGGAATAATTTTGACGACGATGTAAAATTTTTAAATATCACCCATATTGAATATTTTAATATTACGCCCCCTTAAGTGTGCACTGGAGGCGTGAGGTGAGGGAGGGTCTTATTTAACACATTTCTGAAATGCAGATTGGATACAATAAACAGCACAGTAGAAGCAGACGGGAGGAGATGATGAATTAGTCCCCAATAGAAACACACTCTGTAATTTCAGGATGGTCATAAAACACTCTTAAAATACTCGTCATGTGATTAGCCGGCTAATGAGCTCAGAGTTCTGCTTTGCACTCTTTTCATACAGATTTCTAAAATAAAGAGCATTTGTTTTCTAAATGATTTTACTCCTGAAGATTCAGCTGTTTTCTCTGACATGTTTACCAGTCGTTTTGACAGAAGACACAGAAAGAGAAACGACTCCCTGTCAGTTTTACTCATTTTACACGAACATATAGTTTAGTTGTAATCATGAATGTACACAAATAAAAGTGATAATAACCTATACTGTTCATATCTGGGTTTGTCCCATCAACATGATCAAAATGACTATTTCAGCTCTTTTTATGGAAATTAACATCATATATCTGGTGTACATTACTCTCTAATAAATCAACAGACCAGAGTCAATTTCTCCATATATCAGTGTAATAGACGTCTAAACACAGATGGCCTGGTTAAAACAGGACTACATTGTGTGTAGGACTAGTCTCTTAAGCATCTTACTCAAAGACTGTGTTGTGTTTTGGTGTGATTTTTGTCTTTTGTAGCTGTGAGATATCTGAAATCATTTAGCAGTAGTGATATATAAAGGGGGTTTCACACCGGATGCGCCACTCGGCACCACACAGCACATCACGGCCACACACAGATTTCTATTAGGGTCCCTATCTACGACTCAGGACACTTTATATTTCTGTTGCACCATCTGAATAGTTTTATTTTAAATAAAATGTGAATGTGTGTGTCTGGTGTGTGAAACTTCCAGCTGTCATGTTTGTGCTGTGTCGCAGCACTGAGTGGTGCATCCGGTGTGTAATGTGCTCAAAACCTGCTTGGATGTACTTTTACTGTTTATCTAAAAATAACCTTTGAATGTTCATCAGCTAATCAGAATCAAGCATTTAACAGACTCAAAGTGTAATGTATTATAATGTATTTTCATTTATTGAGCAGTTTGTGGATGTACAACTGTGTATGAATTAATATTTTGGTTAAATGTTGTTCTTCTCTTTTCTTCACTCATAGAATCTTGAGAGTAAAATGATCCGATTTCTAAAAAATGAATTGGAGAAATTTAAGAAAATCTTACAAGAAGAAAACAGTCAAGAGTTTGTGAAGGAGTTTAATGAGAACAGAAGCAGAATCACAGAAGCAGCTCTTGATCTCACACTCTTCTTCCTGAGAGACATGAAGCAAGATCAAGCTGCTGATACTCTCCAGGGTAAGAGACTCATGGATAGACCCACACGAAACCTGCAGATTTAAACAGATGTTTAGTCCATCATCAAGTCTATTAATTTACTTTTTATTTTGTATGTAAATTTATATTCATACAGTTATTTAATTAATTTCAGTTATATTGTTGACTGATATGAAATGTTCATGATTTATTTACAGTGCAGTTTGTAGAGTCATATTTTCTGTTCTTTAGTAGATCTGTTATAGAAGAGTCTTGTGCTTTGCTTACCAATTAAGTGGATCTAATTGGATTTGTATTGTAAACATTAAATATTATTATTTTATAAGTTAAAAGGTTTTTTTTTTTTCATATATTAAGTTTTTAGTTATGATACTACACAATTCTCCTCAGAAATAGCAAAAAATGTCAAAGTTCTGTCTGGCCCTACTCATCTCAATCTGTCAGACTGACACTTACAAATAAGTCAAGACTAAATCTCTCTGTTTCTTTGCTTCTGTTTAGATAAGCTGTTCTTCATTAATCAGCTTAAATGTAGCCTGAAGAAGAAATATCAACGTGTGTTTGAAGGAATTGCTCAGCAAGGAG